CTGTTTGAGGTGACGATCAAGCATGCAGAGGATTCGGTTCAGCAGGCCCAGGGCCTGTTTACCGCCCTCGTAGTCCTCGCGGTAGTAGCCGTCAAAGAAGTTGGTGATACGGATGAAAGCAATGCCCGCGAGTTGGACGAGCACAGCGTGGTTGACTGTATCAGACTCTAGCTTCGTTTTGCCCTGGGCTTGCAGGATGTTGAAGACGTAGAGCGGCACAAAATTGTGCAGGAGGTCATCGCAGTCGTTAATGGCCCTCATAGCATTCCGATAAGCTTTCTCCGCTTCCAAGTTCATGTAGAAAGCCAGACGGCAGGAGGACTCATTCTTACGACTGACACAGATGACCAGAAGCCAGGCTGCAAACAAAACCACCGCGGGACCCAGGGTCTGCGGCTGGAAGCGTGAGGACTCGTAGAACCAGCCGAACTCGGTGCGATCAATCTCGTTGGAGGAGGTCCTGGCGTAGACAAACAGCAGGATCTCGATGGTCAGGGTGGAGATGCTGCTGGCTAGAATGCGAATCCAGAAACGCGAATTCATCGGCAGACAGTGAATAAAGATGGAGTAGGTACCAAAGCAGAGGATAAAGTGTTCGTGTCGTACTGAGAATTTTTCCGTGCGAATACATACGTAGTAAATGATGGTAAAAATAGTCGGTATCTGGGAGATACAAAAGAGCACAATTTCGAACGGTTTGCGTCGTCTTCCCCACATTACTAACTTCATTTTTAGCCCCCCTGTTAGGTTGGAATCCTTGACGAGGATGGCGAAATTGATCCAAAAGGTGGCCGGCAGGATGCAAAGGAAGTTGATGGCCATTGTGATGAAAGAGAGCACTTCACCTGCCGTGCTGTCAAAGGCCGTAGCGACGAGAGCACAGACCGCAAAAGCGGTCAGATAGACAAAGACAACCACTATGTCAAAGGCCGGTGCCAGTTTTAGCGAGTCAATGTACAGGGGTTTGGTCCTGTCGTACTCCTCAAGCCCGTACTGCTCTTCCATGGCCGGATCCAAGAACTGCAGTCCCAGCGCGTCAAGAGGATGGGCCCGAAAGAGCTGTGCTTGCCGGTCTGGGTCAGTGCGCAACTGTTGAATCAACTCCAGATCCTTGGCGTTCAACTCGCGAAAATCACTCATAGACTTTACGAAATCCTTCTGAGTGACTGGCTGACCGAAGAAGGACTGGCGAATAGAGACGGCGTGAGCCTCCCCAGCCGGTTTGTTCCATGGATTTTTCACAGTCCAGTGGTTTTTTGGTCGCTGCCGGCTGCTCAGGTGACGAATGCGCGAGCTTTCGCGTCCACAGACAGTGGTCTGTCTTATGAAACTGCGCCTGACTCCACTGTTTTCGGATAAGTCCTCGGTTGAGTCTTTTCCCCTCAGCGACTCCAACTTGACGCTGAAGGCTGACTTGATTTTGCGTTTCAGTATCTTATCGTCCAGAAGGTGCTGAGAAGTAGGCTCCAGGTAGAAGGTAGGTATTTTCACGGTGGCTAGCTTCATGCCCGCAATGGCAGACAACTCCTCACGTTTGGCCTCGATGGTCTGCGCCGGCGTGGTTTTGTAATTTGGGGGAAGCAGCTCCTGTAAGGCACCAGAAATGTGAATTTTTCCGGGTGGGCACAAACTCTGGAGGTTCTGAGTAGTGCTCACATCATAGGAATAGATATCGAAGCGAAATCGTTCCTCCCCGAGTACTGCCGCGTTCACATGGCCTGTGTGGATTCCAACAGCCAGTTCTAGCTTCATCTTGAATTTCGTATTGACAGACTTTATGGAACGCATAATTGCCAGAGCAAATTCAGCACAGGAGATGGCATGATCGGTGTTGGGCTCTGGACAACCAGAAATGCAGTAATAGGTATCCCCCAGAGTTGATATTTTTTCACACTTGCAGTTGGAGCAGAGAGTGTCAAATTCAGTGAACATGGTGTTCAGTATGGTCATGACGCGATAGGCCGTGTACTGCTCCACCAGACGGGACATACCAACCGCATCGGCTATTACTATGGAAACGGGTTGATAGGCCTCACAGAAGAGCCAGCTGGCCCTGTCTCGACCCCTGTTTTTCAGCAACAACTCCAGATATTTTGTATGTATCTCCGGTGGCATCACCACATC